TCTACTAACAGTAGTTGCTTGTATCCATTTTCTGGTTTCGATCCATTTTTCTGGAATGGCTGTTATGCTCTACATTCCAGGGGTGTCACTAGGTTTTAAGGACAGGGGGGCTTAGCCCCCAAGAGATGCACACAATATGAACGAATGTAGCGTATGAGCACAAAATTTAACAAACAGAAAACAAACACTGAGAAACTGCTTTTCAACTGTTTTCGATAGATCAAACATCTTAGGCCACAAATAGATTTTCAGTGCGTGAATCCACAGTTGCCTCGAGCACAAAATCCTCCATTTTCCTTTGTTTGTGCCTTGTCTTGGCACATGGTTCAGGGATACTGTGGGTGTTGCACAGTTTTCTCATACAGCTCCGTGGCAAATGCATCTGAGTGTTTTCCCTTAAGTGTGTCACACAACTTGTTTGAAGACAAAAGCTTCTGGCAGGTCTAAAGTCTCTTTCTGACTCACCTCTCCAGTAGAGGTCTCTCCCTCTCACTCTCTGTGCTCCTCTGCCCTGACTCCTACAGCTTAATGGGGATGAAGGAGTAATTATTATTATTATTTCCACTGATGATAACCAGAGATGGGCAGTAATGTGTACAGTAACGCGTTACGCGGGGTGGGCAACTCCAGGCCTCGAGGGCCGGTGTCCCTGCAGGTTTTAGATGTGTCCTTGAACCAACACAGCTGATTTAAATGGCTAAATTAGCTCCTCAACATGTCCTGAAGTTCTCCAGAGGCCTGGTAACGAACTAATCATGTGATTCAGGTGTGATGACCCAAGGTGAGGTCTAAAACTTGCAGGACACTGGCCCTCGAAGCCTGGAATTGCCCACCCCTGGTTTAAAGCGTGGGAGTACTGACCTTACTTTGAGTTTGATTCCGTAAAAAGTAACAAAAACATTAGCGTCAGCTGTTCACTGCGTGGGAAGAAAACTTCTTTTTACAGCGAAAAAACCCTAAACTTCCGAGCAAGCACCGAGTACCACGTTAATGTGAAGTTAACAGAGAAACTGCCGGATCCTTCCACTGACATGACAGGTGCGACACACCTGCACCAGGGCAAACCTCCGCCTGCCCCACTCCTGCTAAACAGGTGAAAATAGAGCAACAGGACCGCTGAGTCTTTGATTTTATTTATTTTCTGCTGTGTTTTACTTGCATCTATTTGAAAGAGTGAGTGTAAACACACAAAAATATTTTATTTAAATGTACAGAAAATAGGTTTAAAGACAGGTTTAAATAGGTTTATGCTTGATGCATAAAGATAAAATATTAAAACTAATAAAACAAACTTTAAAATGAGACTTTTTCCATTTGATTACATTTTATATGATGGATTATGCAGAAAAAGTAGAATTGGGCTGAACGATCTATTGCTCTATTACCTGTTCAGGTTGTAAATCATGTCTTTAAAAAGTAACTAAGTAACTAATTACTTTTGAAAATAAGTAATCAAGTAATGGGATTACTTTTTTTGTGAAGTAATCAGCAATTAGTTACTGATTTTTTTTTTTCAAGTAACTTGACCAACACTGATGATAACCATACCTGAATGAGCTCAGCTTGATTTTTCAGACCTAAAACAAGTAACAGAAATTAGTTTAGAAATGAGTTTTTACGTGTTTTGGAGTTTTTACGTGTTTTGGAGTTTTTACGTGTTTCAACGTGTTTTGGAGTTTGTACGTGCTTCAGAGTTCGTACGTGATTTGAAGTTTGTATGTGCTTTGTCTGTAGGGGCCACCGTAAATATACTTTTATTTATTCACTCCACATAAAATGTAATAAATAAATCATATAATGCAAAAATCTACTATTCACATTTCAACTTTTAATTATTAAAATTTTCAGCTTTTTCCTTTTACAAATTTAAAGTGAAACAACACAAAACACTGCAAACCACAACACAATTAAATATAAATTATAATATGAAAACAAAAAGAAGATGCATATTCTTTGTCATATGGACCTGCATGAATAAACTTTCTGAATCCTTTATCATCTGCAACCTAAGATAGTTGTGGATAATTACTATACCTTTCTAATGTGAGGTTGTTGTCCCTGGCTCTTTATCTGTCTCTCCCTCCTGCTCTGTTCCTGTGCTACTGAGCGCAACTACCGCCCCTCCCCCCTCTTCCCAGCATAAAGCACAAGGCTCACATGCTGAGTGAAGTAGAAAAAAAGTGCGAGAGAGAGGGCGAGAGAAAGAAAAAAAAAACCTCACGGCTCACGAAAAGGAGCCGGCTCGCGTCGTTCACGTCAAAGAGCCGGCTCTAAGAGCCTTTTCGTTCGCGACCGACCCATCACTAGTCGCCAGGTGTTTCATCAGATTCGAGGTGTTACCTCCTTTGCACAGTATCACCTTAAAGCACTTGTTGCAGACTGCTGAGTTTGCATCTTTTGCTGTGAAGTACAGCCAGACTTTTGACCGCTTAGCCTTGGGCATTTTTAATCTGTAGCTCTGCTCTAAAAGAACGTACGTACCTGGGCCCACCTACTATCCTCAGAAAGGTAAAATGATTGGCTAGAATCCAAAGTGTATGACATCTCAGGAAAAAAAAGCACCGAAATAAAGCACCGAAATGTGCGGTGCTTTTCGGTCTGGTTACTACCGTTTATGTCAGAAC